CGGGCTTCGCCAGCGGCGCCTTCCGCGGGCTCCCGCGCGTCGAGGCGCACTTCCAGCCCGGCTTCGGCGCCGCGCTGTACGGCTGCAAGGAGGCGGTGCGCAGGGAGATCCGCTCCGCCAGGGAGGTGAGCCCCGGCCCCTCCTCCCCGCGCTGCGGCTCTGGCTCGAGGGAGGACCCGATGCCCGCGGGGCCCGAGGAGCCCCCGTGCGCGCGGCCGCTCCCCGTGCCGAGGTGGTGAGGGCTGGGCGCCTTTCAGAAATTCAGAGCCCGTGGCCCGACCTTGTTTCTGTTGAAGCCGCCCTGCCTTTCTCCCGGGAGCAAGCCCCACGCAAAACCGAGGTGGCGCAGCCCACACCAGCCTGCCCGCTTTGGGGACTGGCCCGGCATCCTCCCGTCACGTCGTCTGAACGGCCCGGGCGCTGCCCATCGCTCTCCCTCAGTGCCCGTGTGTGCCGTGCTGTAAGCCTCAAGGTGGAGCTGGGCCCTGTAACTATCTAGAGGTCCCAGAATGTGGCTGGGCCGTGGGCAGGTAATGAGAGGGCATTTGGGGAGAACTGGGAAGAAAGTGAGAGTGAGGGCTCACAACGTGAAACGAGTAGGGAGTACAGTTAAAACTCCCACAAGGAAGTTGGTCCCCCCCTCCCCCCGGTCATTAAAACTCATTGCCACTAGGTGTGGTGGAAGCTGACTGGTTAGCTAGATTCAAAAAGGCATTGGACATGCCCTTGGAGGAAAGGGGCAGCAGTAGCTATTGAGCACGTGAGTTAGGGGTGCAGCCTCTGACACAGAACTTCCTAGACCAGGGTGGGTGCCAGAGCACTCGCTCAAACACATTTTGCTTGGCATACATGCCTTGCAGGGGAAGGGGCCGGGGCTGTGCTGCCACAAGGATCCGGCCTTCGCCAGCTCCCCTGCCATCCGCCCCAGGCACGCTGACATCTTGCAAATCAAGATTACTGGTGTTTTGGGCATTCTGCCCCCAAAAGTTGCAGACGCCTGTTCTAGAGCTTAAATGCTGGAGGCTGCAAGTGGGGGGGAACCTGGTTATACTCAGTTCGCTGTCCCTTTCAGCATCCATGCTCTGCCTGTATGGTCCAGACTGCCGGGCAAGAGGGAGCTGTGGTCTGACACAGTAAATGGCAGGTGTTATGTTCCAAGACATTTGCTTCTTCACATTCTGAGGTTGTACTTGGTGTGAGCTATTGTTGTAATGGAAAAGACAAACCTTAAATCAGGTCTGTTATGCTGTCTGACTGGCAGAGTGGTTGGTTTTGTTTTGTTTTGTTTTTTTTTTTGTTTGCCCTTCAACAGCTACTTTCTCAATTCGTGTGGCTTGTGGTTTTTTTTGTTTTTGTTTGTTTTTTTTTTTTGCATGAACGATGCGTGCCCCTGGTGGCTGGGGGGGCATGGTGGCAGTAAGCTGTGAATGCTCCTGGTGCTGTGGGGGGGTGGCGAGTGCCGACCAGGGGTTGGTGACCACCCACAGATGCCACCGACAGTGGTGGCCGGTGGCGATTGCTGACCTCCCGCAAACACCATCAGTAGGGCGGGGGGAAGAGGGTGGCGAGCAGCAATCGCCATCAGTGTTGGCAGCACCTTTTCGTAGGGGGTGCACTGCCACGCTTGGGGGGTGCATACGTCGCCAGTGATATTTTTTTGTAAGCATTTGAAGGCTTCTTCCTTATTTCTCCAATAAATACTTGTGTGTACAGGCTGAATCGCCTTACTAACCAGGGTTTATTGTGAAAAATGATGCCTTTTGAAAGGTAGGTATGTGAGCGGCAAGGATTTCTCAGTCATATCTTTTATCGGCCCAACTATGTAGTTGAGCTAAAATTAAACAAGACTTCTAATGCAAGATATAGATGTATAGATATATGCAGCCTGGGTGGGGATAGAGGCATTTGGATGATTTCTTTCTGGAATGAGTGCAACCTGACTCCTTAACATAAGATCATGTTGTAAACACTAATGTTGGCTATGACAGAGCTGACCTGACAACTTTCCTTTTTTAAATCATCCTGCGTATAACAGTCTGCAAATGCCATGCGACTGTCTCAATATGCTGCACCCTGGACATCAAGGCTGCTGCAAATGGTAAAAAAAATGGTGCTTTCATTTAAACTCTGAACGCTCCCATGCTGAGCTCTGCATGTCCAAAAGAAACGGCACCTTAATTGGACCCAGCTCACCAGATGTTTGTATAGATCAGGGTCTTTGGTGGGGCTTTTTGGTGCTTTTATTGAATAGCTGATTGAATCAGTTGTAGCTAAAACTAAAAACAAAAAACAAATCCCCCCAAAAAACCCTTGCAGAAGCACCCGATCTATGCAGATGCTTCAGGGCTGGGTCAAAATAACATGCTGCTTCTTCCAGTAAAACTCTGTTTAATTTTTTTTTAACGTCTGCAAGCAGTCCAGGACATGTCTGTTGCAAACATCAGGCTTAAGGGTATGTAGTTCAATAGCTTTCAAATTTTTTTTGAATGACTCGTCTTTCCAACTTCCTGTGGACTGACTACCTACCACACCTCTTTTCTTAAAAGTTTTCACTGAAAAGGTTGCAGGGTGTGGGGCAGGCATTGGTGAAATCTGAGCCACTGACATAGGTAAAAGGATGCATCTTTTTTTTTTTTTTTTAATTGACCAAAAACCGGAAGGGAAGCTTTCAGTAAATGAAAGAATATTGTGTTAGGTGGTGTGTAAACAGCCTGCTGGATTTGCAGGCCTACAAGATTGGAGTCAAATGCTGTAACTGAAGCTAATGAAAATACCCTTAACATCAGGCAGCAGGCAGTGAAGAGCTGTACCTTGTAGAGTAATTCAGAGGTATTGTAAGTAGTGGCTAACTTCATCAGATGATTAGTAAAAGTTGTTGCTTACAAAAGCATATGCACCTTGGACACTAATTCAGATATGCAACTTCGTCCTGCCTTCTGCCTGACCTGAGACTAACAGGGCTAACTACTTCTTTTCAACTTCTGTGTTGCTAACCACATTGGACTTGGATCAAAAGTCTGTTGAATAGCCACTAATTAAACCACAATGGTCTGATTGGGGGGGCGGGGGAGGGTTATCCTGGTCATTAGAAGCTGGTTGGAAAAGTAACGAATCTCTCATTGGGCTGCTACTAATGGCTAGGAAGGACCTTTCCCAAAATATTGTGATGACATGACCCAAAACAGTGCTGTAGCATTTTTGCTTAGGGCACTGGTTTGTCCTGTATGGAATTTTAGCCGTTAGGTAGAGAACTGGACTTCTTTCCAGATTTCTCAACTGAACAGGGAGTAAAACAGTAGGAAGAATGGTTTTGTATAGGTTGGAAACGTGGATCTACAGTCAGTGACTTGACCCTAACCACTATTCAAGTTGAAATGTACCAGTTGAAAAGATAGAGTCCAATAGCAAGGCTTTAAGTGCTTGACAACACCCTTGGTAATAGGTTTTCTAGCATGGGTTACTATATTAATGATACCAAAAATCTAGAAATACTGGATTCAAATACTCTTCTAGGGGCATGGTGACCGAACAATCAGTTCTGACCTACAGAAGAGTTTTTCCCTGTGTCAGAAGAGCCTGTCATCAAAAATGCTTGTTGCAAATTGCAGCAAGAATGCTCCCACAGACGGACTTCTAAACTGATCACGTCTGTAGCACAGCATTTTGGATGTGCGCATTAATACCTCAAAATATTTGGGTATTTACCTTTTTATCATATCGTAGAGTTGCTGCTGGGTTTCTTAATGCCTTCAAGGTGGCTAATCTAGTCTAAGTCTTCCTTTTGCACTTAAGTGATAAGTTGCTGATGATTGTCAGTTCTATTTAGTGAGGGTTAAAACTCCAGTTGAGAGAATTAAGTGGCCCAAATACCTTAAATGACAAGTGAGATTCAGAGATGAAACTGAACAGTCACAGGTACAGAACTAGTGCAATTAAAGCACATGAGTAGCTTAAGCCCTTCTGTGTCTGCATGCACAGGCTTCAATGGCAGAAACCAATTAACTGTGTCTGAGCAATTTAAAGTCCCCTTCTTTTGTAGTAAACTTGAATAGATCTCAATAACATAGTTCAATAAGAGGAGGCCTCAATAATCTGATATGGATCAGCCAATATATGGAGGGTCTGGTTCGTGTCTTTTTTCTACCTTCCCTAAGCAGTGGAAAGTAATCTTGCCTTGATTACAATTAGGATTTCTAGGGCAAAATCTTCTGTACAAATGATACTTAATGGGTCTCTGAGAATAGGAACCAACCAAAGAATTAAAGGGAGAGCTGTTGTTACTGATATTCTTTTCCACTTCAAAAGTCCACTGTTTCAAACTGAAGTTGAGAAATGTTAGATGTTCAAATTCAACATTTTTTGTCAAAGATGTGAACTACTCTGGTCCTAAGAAGGCAGAGTTTGTAGTGGAGGGATTGGGGCAATGGTTTTTAGCAGCTTTTCTGGTTTAGGATGCTTGTAGATCACTTCTCAACCTCTTGTAGGCTAAGATCAAGTGCACACAAGGCCTAGCTTATTGATACATCTCTAGCTCATGGTATTTGCATATATAATCCTAGGTTCAGGTATAATTTTGCCCAAGCTTTAGACTTGCCTTATCTCTTGGATTTTCTTTTCTCCTTTAGCTTCCATTCTCTCTTAATAGAGATGCTTTAAATGTCTCTGAATGCCTGCATTTAGCTTCATGCTACAAAAAAGGTAAGAGGGTGGGCATGTTGATCCCACTAAATGCCGGTGAGAGAGGCTGCCTGCTGCTTCCTGAATTGTGGAACTTCAGTCGCAATAGACATGATAATCTCGAAAAAAATTAATTTAAAATATCTGATTTAAATTTTTTTCATTTAGTCATATTTATTTACTTTTTATTAAAATGCTTTAAAAATAAACCTATATAAAGATAGTTTTTAAGATATGTTGGAGCTCAAAGATATCATCATGGAACAGGGATTATAACTTCTAGTTATGTACTACTTGAAACAATATATTTATGAAACCTTTTTCTAAAAAGTTTTATAAATAGGTCACAGCAGGCCATGGACTATATTAGGGGCCCAGTCTTATGGGGTTTCTGGAGGCTTCTCCATAGTTTGGTAAAGATTTAAAGAAAACCACAGTACCTAATGGG